CTGCGGTGGCCGGGAGCAGCCACTGCACTCCAGTCTGGGTGACAGAGTGAGACTCCTACTAAAAAATAACCAAAACGAAATTGATTCCCTTAACACTGGTTCTGCCCACCTGCCCCTGGGAAAGCTTGCATAGATGTTGGGGGTATCCAAACCACAAGTGAGACTTAACTAGTCTTATTCTTCAATATTCTTATTCTTCAATACAGGGGTCCCAGAAAGGAAGAAATCTGGGCCTGAAAGTCCATGTGACTCAGATAGTGATATTCCCATCCTCTTGCTGTGCCCCATAAGCTCAGGCATTGCATGTGGGCATGATAGGAACTCTGATTACTTCCAGATTTCTATACATTTAGAACTGTTAGGAGGGCATCTAACTATTCCAAAACCGAATCATTTATAAAGAAGCAGCCTAGATTCAGAATTAGGAAAACATGGTTTTATTTTTCCATTTCACGAAAGCACCATCATTGTCTACTGATGGTTCCCAGCTACAAGCCACCAGGTGGCAGCAGGGAACACGGTGCCGCAGTCCTGCCCCAGCGCCCAGAAGGAAGACAAGGTGGGAGGCAGGTGGGGGCCGAGGCTTGGACGTGAGGTAGGAGTGTATGCTTAAGGTTGTCAGAGAAAAAAAGCGGGGAAATGTGAGGGCTAAATATGGATCTCAGGAGAGGACAGAAAATCCTGAGAACACCTGGGAACGAGGAAGGGACTTAAGGAGGTAGGCTAAATTTGGGGAGAATGTCAGGGAAACCAGAAGGATGCAGATGGGCGTTGGTGTACTTTGCCTGGAGACACCCGGGAGCAGGAGCGGCTCAGGGGGGATCTCTGTCATCTGTACTCTTCCCGGGGTGGGTCAAGGTCTGGTTCTTCCTGAGGTCCATGGTCCACCTCAGGGGCAGGCGGCCAGGGGTTTTCTGGAGGCTGAGGTCCTGCAGGCCAGGGGTCATCGGGACGGGGAGGTTGAGGAGGATCAGTTCTCGGGGGCTCAGGGGGCCAGACTCCAGTTTCAGGCTGGTCTCTCCAGGGACGACTAGGGCCTGGAGGTGGAGGGTCCTCAAAAATAGGGGGTGCCCCTGGCCAGGGATCACCGGGGACTGGGGGGCCCTGAGGCAATGGTGGGAAGGCCTCCTCCTCTTGGACCTCTGTGAGTCGGGGAGAGGGGTGGTCCCCACTGCCTGAGATACCTGTAGAGGAGGAAGGAGAAAGGTGAGAGGGGGTAAGGGCCTCTCTCCTCCACCCCCACCCTAGCCACACATCCAGGAGGTGGAGCCTCTCGAGATGGACACAACCTGAGCTGATCCAACAAACACCTCAAAAGTAACTCTCAAAGAGCTCTCCATACAAATACTGAAGTGATCTTAAAATGATATGAAACCGGGCTTGGTGGCTCAGTCTGTAATCCTGCGCCTTTGGGAGGTTGAGGTGAGTGGATTGCCTGAGCCCACGGGTTCAAG